TTGAGCGGGCAGAATCCAGCGAAAACACGGTCACACTTTTTTGGGGAGGGGGTGAACTACATTTCCCAGAATTAGAAGCCTAAGAAACCCATAGGTTTGTTTCTCCCCCACCCCCAATGTCTCCAGATCTTTTCTACATGACTGTGGAGCTTGAGCGGGCAGAATCCAGCAAAAACACAGTCACGAGAAGATTAAAAAAGACACTTTTTGGGGGGAGGGGGTGAACTACATTTCCCAGAATCCCTCAGCCAGCATAAGCACTGGATTAGGGGATTCTGGGTTATGCAGTAACGGCTTTCAAGGCTGAAGAGGATAACTCCAGCCACCACCACCCCTTCCAGCAAAGGTGTAGGATGTTTTCAGAGGACAGCAAGGTGGAGGCAAGCGGGTGGTGCTGACGAGCGCTCAACTACAGGGGTTGACCTTGCGATGGTTCGCACAACCTGGACCGTCACAAAGAGCAGAGGGAAACGAGTGCTTCCCCAAAGCCTCCTTTAATTCGTGGAGTCGGAAGCGTCGTGTCTGGCCACATTCTGTCCAAGGTGGCATGACCGGAACGTGGGAACGCCACGTGCTTCTCCCGTTGCTGCCCATCTCGCCCTCCGATGCTCTGGGCGTGTCACTTTTGTCGAAACCGTGTGTTGATCCTGCGTACGTTCGGGTATTTGGACAGTCCGTCAGGACAGATCTGTACAAAACTGCAAAATAAATGTGACACTGGTGAACCAGGTGGGGCGGCCGCCTCTTTCTCTCCATCTCCATTGTGATTGGGGGGCGTCGCTCTTGACGTTTCGCGGTGGCTTCTACAAGCGCATCCCGGATTTTATAATAGAACATCATCTTAGAAATGCGGAGCTGGTGGTGGGGTTTTGTATTTTGGGAAGAGGGGACTGACACAGGGGCAGCCCCATCCCTGTAAGCCATGCGGAGGATGAGGGCAGTCATGCAAAAAGTCTGCTAGGGTTCTGTTGAGCCTCCCGGTCTAGTAGTAGTCTATCTCAGTGCACCATTTGCTGAGGAGCAGATTGATTCGTGAATATCACCTGGTTGGTCTTCACGCCTGGATTTGCCCTAGGAGGGGGTTTCTAATTTCCACTTTGTCTTAAAATGACAGAATCTATGTGTCCCCACCTCGGTGACTGATGGGTCCCCCGCTTTCTCTGAATACGTTAAAAGACCATCCAGATTAACCCACTGGACCTCCCAGACTCTGTGATGAGACGTGATTTTACAAGCAACACAGTTACTTTCTTTTCACAGTAACAGAGCCACCTTTTAAAAGTAATGCAGTTACTTTCTTCCTAGTTACTTTTTAAAAAATTCCCTTTAAAAGGTATTTTTAAGGGCAGTTTATTAAGGGGCTGAAGCCCCTTTCTCTGATCAGTTCCATGGCTTCCTTCTCCCCCCCCCCAAGTAACAGAAAGCAATGGGAAAATAAGCAGGGATCCAGTGCGTTAAGTGGTATATTCCTGTCTTTTTTTTAATTGGGGAGGTGACAGTGAACTGTTTTTTTTTAAACACTTCAATTAGTAACCGGATTTCTGTCGGATCCAAAGGGCCACCTTCCTTTATTTGCTCCTTTATTCGCTCTCGCTCTCTCTCGTGCCTGAGATATTCCAGGCTTTTGAATGGGGTCTGGTCCCTGTCCGACTCTGACCCGGTTGTGCCTATCTGTTCTTGCGGCTCCCTGCTTCGTCGTTTTTAGTTTCATTTCGGCCGGTCGGTTGTGTGACCGAGGGAGAATCTGAACTTCGGTTTCCCAGGGTTTTTGTCCAGCCCTTAAGTGGTCTAAGGAAGGACCCCCATTATTCTCGGGGTGTCCTTTGGCACGGTCTGGGGATGGTCTGAACGGGACACGATGCTTGTACCAGGGTGGGTCCCCAACGCTGTGAATTTATCAAGCCCTGCAGGGTGGAATGGAAGAGGGGTAGACGTCTGTGTGGGAACCTACCTTTTTCTGCCCTAAATACTTGGTGTTCCTCTTGCTGAGCGCTGGCTGACAGCCACGGTGGCTTTGGGGGGAAAATCCTTTCCTCCCCGTGACTCCAGATCCCTCCTCTGGCGCTTTCAGAGATCAGCTCTGGGAGATGCGCTGGGTACACATTTTATCCCAAAAACACCCATTTTGAGGGCATGTCATCCCACAAGTACGGCATTTTTATGCACCTTTTAGCCTAAAAGGCGTGGATTCGGGTGGATTTCTTTTCATTCTTTTGAAGCCGAGAACAGAAACTCAGAATTCAAAGAAGGGAAGGGAAGCTCTAAAAGCTGGCCTTGGTAGCTGTCCGTATTTTAATCCGAAGAGTTTGGGTTGAGTTAGCGTGCTTAAGAAGGGAAACCAGACCAACCTTTTAAAGCTTTCCCCGACTGTTCCTGATGAACCCCACAGCCTTTTTGAGGACTCCGGCGGGGAAAGTCGACCGTCTTTTTATAATGGTCCTGATTTTTGTCTTTCTTCCTTGCAGGCCTGGGTCTGAGGTGAAGGATGTCACGGATGCAGATTCTGCCGGCCCCTGGCCAGGCGTCGTCTCCCTAAGCCGCCTGTCGCCGACACCGCCGGAATCGCTGGCCACGGTTAAATCGCTGATCAAGTCCTTCGATTTGGGGTGCCCAGGTGACCTAAATCGCCGTGAGCGGGAAGTTTCCCCCTTTGAGAAAATATTTACAGAAGGATCCTCTTATCTGCGAGATCAGTATCCGCTGATTCGCATATCCACAGTCCGAAGATATTTAAAATATTAAAAGAAAGACCCTAGAAATACAGATTTTTAAATATGAAGTTACCAGAACTGGCCACTAGAGGGAGCCAGAGACCAGGCTACATCTCGTGTGTCCTGCAATCCACATTTTTCAGCATCCGGGCAGGGTTTGGAACCGATCTGCAGATATGGGAGTCCTACTGTACTTTTTCCTTCCCCTCCCCCTTCCCCATATTGTCATTTTGCATGTTGTTCCTTACTTCGGAATACATTTTGCGCATTTTGCCCTGTTGAGCAAACGGATTTCTCCTCCCCCCCAACCTCAAGATATATATATATTTAAAAGTCTATTGCTAAACTAGTTCCGGGCCCATCATCCGTGATAACTGTGGGCGATGGGAGGCATAGTGGGTGTGGAGAGCGTCGTCTGGCTTGGAGGACTAGCTTAATCTCCGTTGGTTTTGTCTCCAATCAATATCCTGCATTTTCTTCTCTGTCTTTGAACCAGTTCCCTTGTTATACCCATTAATCCTTCCATGTATTTTTTCTCCTTCCCCGCCTCGCAGGGAGCGGCGCTGGACAAAGTGTCCCAGTTGTTCACAAGGCGGCCCGGAGTCCCCTTAGCGGCATTCCCACCCGCTCTGCGCCTGCGGCGGCCGTCTCCCCCATCCAGGTACCGGAAGGTCCACCCAGACACACACACCCTCCACCCACCCTCGCACCCCCATCCCGCTCGCCATCCCTTAGCGAAGGGCCTGCATTTTCCTGGACCTGGAGAGGAAAAGGGAAGGGGATCCTGACTGCTTCATTTGTTTGCTTTTTCCGTAAAGACATCAAATACCAGCAGATCAAAGCGAATCCTTGGCAGTCCACAGGGAACACCTTTGACCTCGCTGGAATCCAACCGGGGTGGGATATTGGGTCGGTTTCGCCTTTTAAAAACAATAACAGTAATAATAATAATCATCTTGAGCTGGTTTTGATCT